CAGTTTTAATGTTTCGGGCGACATTTTTTCTGATGTCCATTATGAACGCTTATTCAGAGTTATTTCGAAACATAAACAAAGTAATTGTAATTTGTAAGGCACGGTCTTCTTCTCGAATTCGCTTTCGTCAAAGCTCTTACCCATATAAACGGTATCTGATTTTCGACTTTCAGCCAACGACACCGTTTAATTCCGTAAGCCAGCTCGAAATGAAGACACTACCGACTCGACTGGTCGTCTTGCGTCATGACAGATAGTGAGATTGCAAAACCGCAGTGATAATGCTGTTATTAATTCCACCTTTGCACGTTCGTGATTGATAAAAGCTCTGGATGTTATAATTATCCGGATATTTGTGTATTCAAGTAGTACGCCAACACACATCACGCCACGTCATCCCAACGCCAAATGAGTTTAGATGGGTAATCGTCAAATCTTGAATTAATACTTAAAGGGAAGAGTGATCGTTGCCGCATGTCAGCAATCAGTCAAGAAATATTTTGTAACTGGTCATTGTACTTGGATCTAATTGTTGCATTTATTTTGTCGTACTGCTGTGATCAAATTTATTAATTCTGTTCTACATAGGAGAAAGCATTCCGGGCGTTATTTGCAAAAGGTGTAGGCGCCAATAACTGATGCATGCAAAACAGGAATGCGTTTGTCGAAAGACAGCACGCTTTCATACGCACGCAACACTAAAGATATTGGACACCATCATACGCGCACCAACACAGTCCCTATTTCTTTTTACGCAACGGCTGCAGTAGCCCTTTAACATTTCTTTGCAGGGTTTTTGCTGTACTCTAGTTTCATAGTTGTTTAAGTTTTACCTGTCTATAGATTTCCGCAAGGAGTGATTTCTTGCGTCTGCGGACAATTAGAGACTGACACCTTGAAAATAAGAACTACAGTGGACGCCATAAGGCATAAATGTGGTTACACTCGTGTCACTGGACAATCGGTCTGAGGACCAATATTTTAACGGCAAGGCCAACAACAGACCAAAATAACTCGGTCATGTCCATTGCGCGTAGACTTGTATGCTAACTCAAAGCACGTGGAAGTTGGAAATTGCACATTTCGAAACTAAACTACCCAAGCGATATCTCAAAAGAAAACGAAAATTTTTTTAAGAATTTTGGCGAGGACCAGAGCAATGGAGTGGGGAACACCACAAAATTAATACAAGCTGAAAACAGCATGTAGCACGCACATCTTTTTGGTACAGTTAGCCTTCATTTAACAATTAACACTACAATGTAGTACTAGTATATAAGAACTGCTCTACTTGTCAGAAATCTGCATCATATTATTTAATTGTTGTGTAAGGTTCCGCTCGCGGATCACCGAAGTAGCTGATGTTTCTAAACTTCCACAACTTCAACAAATATAGTTTCATGTATCTTTTCTTTAGGTTTAGTTAACTCACTCTAATACACCCACTCTAATACTGGAAAGTGTCAAGAGAGTTAATAAAAGGAAGTAAAGGAGAGCTAACAACAGTTAACCAATGAAGCGCGAAGCTGACGAAATTTTCGTTTCGAAGATGCGTGAAATTCAATAAAAATTAATTATTGCTATTTATTTAATTACCGATTATTTGGAATCTTGATTTCACCCGAATCCGATCCGGTCAGATACACATAAACTCCGAAACCACTCCGAATCCGAATTTTCCAGACTGGAATCCGTCAAATCCAATCCGAAATTCGGAGTGGGTTCGGAGCGGATAGGATTTCCCAGTCCGTTGATGGGCTCTAAATTATACCAATTGCGCGTATGCGCATCCGGGACATACTTACACCGATTTTCACCGTGCGCATATTGTAGCCGTACAAATGAGATTTGTAGATCCATTTTAAAGAGCAACGAAGGATACAGGAACTGCAATAAATTAAAATAACCAACTTTATTTTATCGACTAATCAACTTCCACTCAGCCTTCCAGTACATAACTATTCTTGTGCTTTCTTATTTTGATTCCGCTTCCGTTTCTCTTTCCTCTTCCGGTGTCTTGTATTCATACAGCCGTTCATCATCACCCTCTATGCAATCGCTTTCCATGTCGCTATTCCACTCGCCCGCCGAGATATATTGTGACCAAGTGACCAAGTGAAGTATATTGTGACCTCCGACGCCAGGAGTTGCCTTTGGCCGATGCAGATATCGTAAGTGCCAGAGTTTTTTCGGACTGCTGATTATGTTGATCAGAATTCTTAACGGTAATTTAGTTAGTTAAAAACGTAAGGGATATGATGCGATGCAGTGATTGCATCCCTTGGTGCTTTGATGGCTGTTCTTCTATTTTGAACATATTCCCCTTCGTTAAAATCACGCAACCTGTCGATCCTACCATAGGTGAGGTTCTTTGAACGGAAAGCACAGCTTCTAGCAATTCACCTTGAATTATACAAAGAAAACGAAGAGCCACAGTGGAAAGAGCAGGTGGATGTCGGGGAGCGCGGCTTGGTTCTGCCGTTTCCGGTGCTGAAGGAGGTCTTCCAGTCCCTGGACACCGTGGGTCGACAGCGCTGCCGACGCACCTGTCAACTGTGGGAGGCCCTTCTCACGTCGGCGGAACTGTGCACGGAGGTGCGATTATCGCGGCATCAGCCTTCACGACGCATCCAGTGGGATGGTGATTACCTGTTGTACGCTTGTCACTTCAAACTCATCACGCCCGTCACCCGCATCCTCAGCATGCGCAATATCCCCGGTACGGACGGCGTGAAGGGGAACATGGATGAGTTCGGTGCAGTGCTGCGGGAGCTTGTCACGGAGGTCTCCAAGGTCTTGGGGTCCCTCATCGAGCATTTCTTGCTGCATCAGCCGCAGCGAACTATCGTCATTCGGCACTCGGAGTCGGGAACGAACCGATGGGCGCTTAATTTTACAATGGCGGCCGGGATCGCTGCGCTCCTGACCAACCTGGAGTCGTGCTGGGATCGGATGATTCTGAAGGGATAGGACCTCGAAGGCTCGAACCCTGATCACTGTATTATCAGGTCCATACTCTCGCAACACAGATACAGTCCTGTTATGTATTTTCTGTACACATTACTTCTGGTAATAAAATGTGTTGATGCTCTTCTTCGGTTTTCTTTTATAGAATTTAATTTGCTTTTTAACTTCCTTACTGCATTATTCCACGAAATGGTGCTGCAAAAAAATCGTCGTGTCAGAGCGGGACTCTCCGCCCACCTGACTTGCTATTCGCTGTTTCTGGGGATTTTCACCCCGTACATTTCTCCGCTGTTTTGACGGATCTTTGATCGTTTTGACGGGGCGTTTTATGCAAAACTTCATGAAGATCGGTTTATAATGAGATTTTGGACTCCTTTGTGCGTTTACACACAGCCAACAGCGCCTAAAACAGAAGCCGCATTTCCACGCTAAATTACTGTAGAAGGTGATCGGTCAAATGAGATTTTTGGGTACACCAATTTGCCAATAAGTGCTGCTGCTTGTAAGATTTTCATTGCAGGAAATAGCCATGATCACAAAAACTTGTTCGGTTGGAAGCCATCAATTGTGCACTGACCGCAGCATTTAGGAAACTCTGCAACACCCAAAGTTGCACAGCAAAACATTTTTTCTGGAAAGATTATTTAGGGATTACCATGTAATTATTACATCTGCAGATGCAGAAACCACAGCAATAAGAATGATACTAACAAAACAAACTCTGCACAACGCTCGCAAGAATACCTCGGGTAGACTAATGAGTTAAATGACATACTATGTACTACAAACAGCAGTATGTACGTGTGGGTCGGCCAACTTCGCCTTTGCCGTTTCAGTTTGCCATTTTCAGTTTTACCTTTGCCTTTGCTGCCAAAAAAAAGGTTAGCATACTACCTTGCCGTTTCGAAATGCCACGAGGTCAACGAGCAGTGTCAACGAGTAAGTTGTCAGTTTGGTGCGATAATTAAATAACTAGGACGACCATGTTAGCGAATGATTAACCGCCCTTTTCAGTTTAGTGTTGTGTGTCACGACCCTCCAGTACTCATGGACTAGCGGTGTGGATCATTTCTCCAGAATGCAACACTCGCAGACGGTTTCAATGGGTTTACGCACTGGGTGCCTTTTGCAAGGTCATATGTTTCGTTAATAGAATCTTCTTCGTTGCGAGTATCGTTTGGCGCACTGGATACCGGCGTATGCGAAGGTTCATCAAGCAACCCTCCATTACAGTTAGTCCCGTTGCTGCGGCCATGGCACATGCACAGGAAATATCCCGTTAGACTGAACAGCAGTGTTGGGAGTAGGAGACACCCAGGCAAAAGGAATCCCGTCAACAGGAAAGGGATAAACAGCCAGCAGGCCACACAGCGGAGTATCTCCAGGCTGTCCAACAGGACGTTGCACAACTGGTAGCAAGCACCAGGTATTCAACACTGATAATTACTGGAGCGTTTATTGGCTTGTGTTGTGATCGTCTGCATGGGCTCGGGGAAAGTTCGCATTCGGCACGCGAACTCTAAAGAGCCCTTCCAATCCAAAAAAGCAGTAGAACAAAAGTCATTTACTTTTTTCTGAACTGAGGGAAGTGTTCGGCACGATGCCCCCAATGCGTCTACATGCTCAGCAACTTCAAAAATTTTTTTCCATTGCTGTGTTTTTTCTTTCTGTAGCCGAATGACTTGTGCAAATTTGAGCGAAAACCGTTTGTCCGCGCAGCTTCCGGTCGGGAGTTATGGTAAAATAAAACTCCTAAGGTCTGAATGCAAACACTTGCAGCAAAAGTGCTCGTACCACTATGGACCGCTATTTTTCAAGTTAATTTTGCACTTTCTGGTATGCGGCTTTTGTTGGTTAAATGTGAACCTGCTTTACACCGAACCAAAGCTTCTACTTCAGTTTTTGAAACAAATTTTAACATTTTTGAAAGAATGTTTCGTATATGCGAAAGAAAGCCAAAATCATGGTTCGGTGTAAAAACGATCTTACATAAGTGGCGATAAAGCGTGTTTATGCGCACTATTAAAAGAGAAATTTTAAACAAGGAGACGAAAAGTTTTATACGGCTCATAGCGGCCCCTCCTCACGGCTTTCTTTAGTAAAAGGCGAACGAAAATTACGATATGTGAGAAATAATAAAACAAAAACTCATCTCTTTGCATTTAAACCCTTTTGGAATAGCATATTATCAATAATTTCCCTGTTTTTGGCACATGTACACGAAATTGTTGCTGGTATACTTTCTTTAGAGGATGCTAGGCCAGAAGCAATCCAATGTGTGCGCCACCGCAACATTCCGCCTAGCACAACCGGTCGCAGGACTTTTAGTCGCAGAGATTTCGCCGCACGGTCATCTCGCCGTGCGACGTTTCGTCGCGGAACATTGTCGACATGACAGCACGCCGCGAGACATTTCGTGGCCAGGCCGTTTCGACGCCGAGATATTTCGCCGCGATGCTGTTTCGACGAAAAGTTCTTACTAGCAGACAAACTTTTTATCAGAGTTATTGAAACTGTCAGGAGCACCTAAGAAAAAATTTAGTAACCCAAAAGAAACTGCCTAAAGAAAAAACGAGGAAACCAAGAAAGTACGAAGGCGACGAGCCCCAAGAAAAACCTAAAAATACCAGGGAACAGTAATTGACCACATTTCACTGATCCACATGGACAAGCGGGGGCAGAACACGTCTACGATTGGCGGCGCCGGCTTTTCTGTCCAGAATTGCTGACTTGGTTATTAGCCCTTGTTTTGAAAAGCTGGGGCGAACATTTCCATATGTTGCCGAGGGCCAGGCAGAAAATCAGCGGATCCAGGAAAGCTTGGATGATGTAGAGAGTGGACGAGAGTCGATACAGGGTGGGGTCCAGTTTGGTATTTGGACTGTAGGTGAGAATAACAGAGTAGCACATAATCGGCCACCAACAAACCAAGGTACTGCCGGTGTAAAACGTCAGCAGGATAAAGGGACGCTGGGAACCTTCCTGCCTGCCTTCCGGTCGAGCATGGGCCGGTACAGCGGGATTAGCCACCGGGCTGGCTCGTCGTCGCGACAACATCTTCCACAGTAAGAAGGGGAAGACGACCACAATGCCCACTTTGGGTACGTCATAAATCAGAATGGACGTCAACTCAACAAGAGCGAGCTGGCGGCCGTTATTGAGCCGGCAGCCGTCCTCCAACGGCAAACGATAGAAGAGACGATCGCGAATCAGCAGCGGCAGCATGAAGCTATGCACGTAGACCATTACGGCACCGCAGAGAAGGACGGCCGTTTTGCGATTATGGCGGGCACGGTAGGAGATGGGTACGAAGAGTGCCCAGGCGCGATTGAGCGTGATCAGCCAGTGGAAGTTGTATATGAGAGGGGATATGACGTATAGGGAATACAGGCGTAAGGTGCACAGGGAAGGACCCAGCCACACAGACCCGTACGCATGCGCGACGATGTCCAGCACACGGTCCAGACATCCGAAGGCCACATTACTGCACATTATGGCGACGATGTACAGGTTGAAGGGTGTCCACAGGGATGCTTTGTTGAGAGTTACCAGCAGTGCCAGGCCGTTGAACGCTACGGCCAGTATTCCGGTGCTCGTGGCTCCGGCATCGAAGGAGACGTTGACCGGCGGGGAGAAAGGCCTTGGATCCGAATGGTTGATGTGAGGTATCAAAAAGGCAGATAGGTTATGAGTTACTGTCGCGTTCCAATCCATTTCGGACATGTCTAAAACCCGGAAGATAAAGATTATACGCCTGGGGGATCAAAGAAGAATGCGGGACATGCGCCACGCAATCCGACTGGGACAAATCAGTGTGGTTGACAAATCAGAAAGGCTGGCCAGTGCTGAGAAAGCCTTTTATACGTCTACAGTAGGGATAGAAACGGGGTCCCATGAACATGTCCTTCATACAACATAATAATTTCCGGTTGATGGATAAACAAGAGAACCCACCCAGTGTTTCACTAAAGGTTGAATGAGGCAGCCGAAAGAACTGTAACCGTTTCCAGTGGCATTTATAATTACTGACGGATTCATATTCCCGCAATAGTAATTACAAGAAACGGCTTCGGCTTTGCCTCCGCGATTCTTGTGGTCTGCGGTCGGTTTCCGAATGATTTAGATTAATTTAGTGTGTACTATATGCGATCACTGTATGCACTAACCAGTGGTGTTACTTCAGTTCTTTACCCCCTATCACGATTTGCGCTGATAAAAATAACGGTAATTTGGTAACTCACTCTCGCAGTCGGCTCTGCGCATTGGAGAGTAGAGGTCATTCACTATGTGAAGTGAACAGTAGTGGTACTTAATTACTCACCACCACTCGTTTCGTTACGTACCACCTAGCAAGCGGTTCGCAATGGTTTTGTTTTTAGTAGGTCGGTCACCCGCTAGCCTACCGGCCTCTGCACACGAGAATAGTGGTACTTCGGTCACTCACTATGTGCAATTCCAGTAGAGGTAGCTCAGTTACTCGTACGTCACCACTTGTTCGGTTACTCACTCACCTAGCGAGCTCTGTAAACTGGAGAGTAGCGGTAGTGCGGTTACTCACCCATCTATGGGGCTAGTAATTTCATCACTCTATTTGTTCCCTAAATTATAGTGATAGTTCGGTATCTCGTTGATCCGAACCCCTGTGACCGTACCCCAGTGACCGTAGTCCCCAAATTCATACCCATTTTTTTAGGAATGACAGTTTTTTGTGAAGAAATTTTTATTTTTATAACTGTTCTTTGAGTCGATGTACGTGGCAGGGGTAACACTTCGTAATTTATGTAATTAATAATTTTTTTTGTACGTACGGTTATTTTCAATGTGAACAGCCCTTTTTGCATTGATTGTGATCATTAATACTCGTATTATAAAATTAGCTTTTATAATTCATTGCCGACGAGGATGCCGTTTTTTTGTTCAATCGGTTTGGCATTTGCTGATATAAAGACATGCACTGAATTACTCCGTATTATACGGAATAATTTACGGACCGTGTATGCTGAATGATCGCTGTCTTCAGTTTTGTTCGGACTGTAATGAAAGGTCAGTCCGTCTGAACGATTACTATGGTCTATGGTCAGTTTCTTTTATATTTTAACGAGCGTTCTTATTCCGAATCTCATGTTTTCAGCGCTTTAAACTGTTAACGATTTATTGAACTAGCAGCATCGTTCGTGTTACTGCTAACTGGCTTTGTTATGTGGTTGTGGAAGTAAAAGTTTAAACCTTTTTAAAATCCTAATCTTTTACTAGTTTAAATTTACTGATTTTTTGCTCTATGCAACCGGACCCTCAAACTGTTTCAAGGTGACCTTGAGCTTTCAGCTCTACCGGCACCGGTGTCTGTGCAGCTCTACCGGCACCGGCGTCTGTGCACGCGAGCCGGGGCGCTAATTACAAAAACAAAATGCATGCGACACAGTTTCCAGACATGCTGAATTGAATGGCGTTAGCAGTTTTCTGATTAATTTTCATGTTTCTTCTGAACAGATTGTACGGGTTTTCCGTTGTAATATAGATCTTTTCCTTGAAACAGTTACACAAATTACTGCCGCTTTTGTCTTGTGAGGAGAGAAGCGGCTGACGTAAAGCGACAAAATCTTTCAAATGATTTCAACGTATTGCGCCGTGGTGCAGTGGTACTGCCTACGCGGATCTAACGACGTAGCCGGGGTTCGATTCCCCCATCGGCGCCTTTTTCAGCCGTATCTCGGTTTCCAGTGGATAGCGCCCTGGTTTTAGTCTGCTGCCATGTAATCGATTGATTAGTTCCGGCAGAGCAAGATTATTCTACTTAATTTCCTGTGGAAAGCGGATAGAACATTCATGTGTGATCCCTCTGCACAACGCGGTATTACTTACAATTACAGCAAGCAGGGATTTGGACGTATTAGAATTATGACATATTGATCAATTTTCGGCATGGCACAAATGTTAACCTAAGTTAACTTTATTTTGCTCCTAAGCCACACACTAGTCATACAAATTGTTCGGCTAACAAAAGGGACAGTAGAAAAACATAAGAGTAAACATCAGCAAATCGTAACTTGACTGAAAAGCCGTCAAAATGAGCCACTGATAATAACATCCACTCACTCAGTTCCACTGTATGACAAAATTAATATCCTGGTACCGACCGCATCTGTAAACGGCGATTTCTTCCGTTTCTGCACAATTGATATCGACTTCACGCCAGCTGCAGCAACACCGCCACACTGAGCACACGCCTGTAGCCGGCAGAAAGGTGGACGGGTGGATGTTCAATGAAATCGCATCCACCAATCTGCCGATCTTCGGCAGATTGGTGGATGCGATTTCATTGAACATCCACCCGTCCACCTTTCTGCCGGCTACACGCGCCCTCAACTGTTAACCTCCCGAATATATTTTCCTTGCCACTCTCGGGCGGGCGGATAATACAGCGCATAATTGGAAATAACTATGTTGATTGCCGGGTCCGAATGAATGATCTGTGCGATAGCAGCGGTCAGTTTACAACATTCGACCGGCTTTTGATGCCACACGGATCATGCCGCCCGAGCAATATTGGCATTTGGCAGGCGAGATTAACAAACTAAGGCATCAACTTACATCTACAGCAGATGCGCCCTTTCAAAAGGGACGGTACACTTCCGGCACACCAGTCCGGAAGCATATGGCTCCTTGTGAATAGCTCGTCAGAGCTTTGAGCTCGGAGCTTTTAAAGAGCTTTGCAAAACTCGTCAAGCTTCTTCTGAGACCCAACGGCGTTGTTCCGGTGGTGTGTTTCGATGCATAATAGCAGATGTGTGCATGCAGTACGAGTACAATTGATGTGGCGGATATGCCGACATGAATGATTGGAGAAGCTGGAAATATTCTTTTGACTCTCAGCTTGACCGCCGTTCTTTGCGATATTACGTACTTAATCTGTTAAAATTTAATGCTTGGAAAACGGCTTAGTTTGCGCAATTCATTCGTCAGATGACAGAAGGAGAGTGCAGTTAGCTAGCGGTAAGCAGTGCAGAATGACAAGCACCATAAAATGGAGACCATATAACCCCACAGAGGAAACAGAAGGCAAATACAAAGCTGGATTTTAATATTTTGAGATTCTAAGATACCATACGCAAACCTCCATTTCAGAACACAAAAACACACCTCCAGTATCGCATCCTTCCATCGACCTTAAAATTTAAAGGTATGGTGCCGCACTGTCGATTATAAAAGTACGAACACGGCTACAACTACTGTATTTTCACAAGTTTAAGGAACAGGGTGGGGGCGTGGCCAGCGTAGCCGGACCGTCGGTCGGCTTTGATCTCAAAGGGGCCGACAACTCGTGTGCGCGGCCCGGCCCCTGGAGCGTTCCTTAAACTTGTGAAAATACAGTATTAAGTGAAGTACAGACTCTAGCTGGGCCGTCAGGACAATGACCACAAATACGGTCGCTTGAATTTTGTATTACTTCAAACTGCAATTTAATTTCAATAGTTATTACTAAGGAGGACAAATCCACGGGCGCGAGCCCTTGGAAAGGATTTGGAAAGGAAATTGCCATGGAATTCCATGGAATCCGTGGATTTACGGAAATCCAAATGGATTTCCGCAAATCCAAGGATTTCGTTTTTTTCGTTGGAATACCATTAATTAGCCATCTATTTACATAACTTTTAAGAAAACACCACTTCAGTTATCGCCCGCTGCTTAATTACCGCGCATTCATCACTTGTAAATGCATTCAAAGCTCTAAACATAGTGAAGGTACACAGAAGTGACAGAACCAGACCTGGGCAGTTATGGAAAAGGCACCCACCGTTAGAGTTATGAGTTACAGGTAGCGTGCGAGTTACGCTACGAGTTACGCTATTTATGCAAGTAAAACCGAGTTTCGAGTTATACCTCGAGTTACGCTACCATAGACAATGTATACAAATTTCAGGCGAGTTACGTTAGAGTTAAGTTTTTTGGGTAGCGAGCTACGCTACAGAGTTACGTTAAAACTCGATAACTCGCAAATAACTCGCGTTAAGTTATAGAGTTAAGTTATAACTGCCCAGGTCTGGACAGAACTATCTGCATTTCATAAACAGAGGCAGTAGTACATGTTATTATAGCATAACTAGTACAGATGCCGCCGGTCTACAGTATGTTAGAGATACAGTAGAGTGCAGATTCGACAACTGCAGATAGTTAGCTACTGAACGCGGTCACTGGATATTTTCCCAGTACGCATGATCTTGTTCAGAGGACAATGTATTGAAGTAATCTTTTTAAAAACTACGTACATGTATTGTCGTCTGTCACATAGATCAAAACGACTTCTTGACATATTCCACAAAAAAAGAAATAAACGAAAAGGGTAGTTTTGGCTGCTACGCTAAAACCACGTATGAAGTAATAAATTTGGATATGCATGTCTGTTTCTCCTTAGTTTTAAAATAGCAAAACAATACTATACTACCATCTCCCAAGTACTAGTACTCCATTATCACTGATATAGTGCGTTAAACGGACACAGTAACTTGTCTTTGATACTGTACGAGTCATGCAGGCGTACTCATGTTGCAACCTGACGTTATCTGATATCTCTGGCGCGTTTTTTTCTTTACCGGGCAGTCTCAGAATAGAGACGGCCATTTTTTAAATAATAAATTTGTAGCTACTCGTTGAAAAATGTTCGGTTTTTAATTTTTTATTCGACATTTCTGTGCGTTTGGAATTCCAAATACAGGGAATCTGGA